AACTCTAACAAGCATTCCAAGAGGCAACCAGAAGGAGATAAAGAAGTCTACTCAGAAACATAAAGAGTTCATCACAAGGGCCCTCAGAATATTCATCATTGGGCAAGCGTCCGGGCAACAGAAGAAGGAGATAAAAAAGCATACGAAGCATGTAAACAGGGCGACAAGAAGAAGAAGACAAAAAAGGGCTTTCAGATATACAGTCATCATAAAACCTAGCAAAGGAAGAATACTGAGTACCAGGAAAAGCAGAGCCTCATCATCATCGTAACCCCTTCACCGTCGAGCCTCCAAGCGCATCCAAACCATGGAGAGGGAAGGAATCGAAGGAGGCAACTGGTGGCTGGGCGAAGGGGAGAGTCAGATCCATGGTAAAGAAAGGACGAAGACGAAGGTGAGAACGAAACTAGCAACGGCGCTGCAACCCTAAAGTCTTCCCCAAATGGAACAAAATTGTGAACCCTAATTATTCGTTTCAAACGAATTGGGCCATAACCCGTTCAAAGCACACAAAGCCCAAGCGAATCTCCATTTGGCACCCCTCACCAAGCCCATTCATTTCTTTTACTAACATCTTTTCTATCCTTTTATTACTTTAACTAATACATTTTACATTAATTAACTACTTTTTATAACTTACTTAATACTAATTTCATTTTATTTTTACACTAACAATACTTTTTTATATATAGCATAATTAAATTTTATATAGAAACTTATAAAAATAATATTTTTTCTCTATAATTAAACTTACACTTTCTTTAAAATCTTACACATGGAATATTAATTTTTCTTAAGATAAATACTTTTCTCTTTTTTTTTCTTTCAAGATATTATCTTTGTACATAATAAATGAAAATACATTTTTCTAATATACATAATACAATTAAAATTGACAAACATTCCTTCTTTCTTTTAATTAAAATACCTCTTTTGTATATATTAAACAAATATGAAGATACAAATTTATATCAAATATAAATAATAATTTTCAAACTTAGAATATTTTCTTTTCTTTTAGTAAATTTTTTTTCTGTACATATTGAAGAAATATACAAGACTACAAAAGACTAATTAAATAAACATTTAATTCTTTTCATTTGAATTAAAACAATACTTAAATAATACACATTTAAATTCACATCTTAACTTGTAAATAATTCTCATATACGTACACGTACACTTACGCAATACATTTCACATTATACACTTGATACACATACATTTGCTATTCTTATACGTTACATTACATTATTTACATTTTATCGCAATTCGATTTGGTTGTAACTTATTGGACACTACATTCCTAAAGTCTCATCCCCATTTGTAAATTTGTACCCCCACTCCCGGATACTATTTGTAATAGCGTAGACTTTAAATTCTTGCAATTTATCGCTTTCCAATTATACCATGGTTAGACCTAGGGTTTGTATGTACATAAAATCAAACGCTAGATAACCTAATACAAAGACAAATACATGAAATCAATACACAATCACACTTGCACCCTCTAGGGTAATCCCACATGTTGCCTTCCAAAATGGGCCATGCTTGCACGTCGAGTTTCTTTGGCAAAACAAATTCAAATGATCATAAGTCCCTCGATGACGCTTTCGAAAGTTGCCTAAATGGAATGATCATAGTCCCTTCAAAGCAAATTGCCAAAGACACTTGGCACAATTGCATTCATGGTCCATACGATGACCCGCGCCCGTCCCGTTAAACATCCTAAACGCAAGATTGTCCACCAAATTCAATGGTGGAACAAAATTGTTAAAAAAGGGTTGAAAACATAGAGAAAAACCTTTGAGTACAATAGGGGTAGACAAAACTCTTAGTTACTTAAGATCAACTTGCAAAAACACTTGCCTTCTTTTCAAAAAAACCACACTTCATACACACTTTCAAACACTCTCTCAAAAACATTTGAAACATCTTTTCGAAAAGATACACACTTTTGTAAGACACTCAAACACGAGTCAAATACATTGGTTGCCTAAGACAAGGCATCTCTTCAAAAACATTTTCAAAACACTCACACACACCACAGTTTCAAAGCAATCGAAAATCAAGGCAAGTGATCTAAAAACCGAGTAACTAAGACCCCATGGATAACCATGGATGAAAAGGGTGCTAATACCTTCCCTTTTCATAATCTACCTCCCGAACCCACGAAATATCTCAAAAGGTTTTTGATGTGCTTTTTTAACCCTTCCTTTAGGATAAAATAAAAAGTCGGTAGCGACTCTTGCTCAACCGAAACATTTGCGAAAACAAACGCAAAACCTCTAGTCAGTTCTCCCACCGTATCACATATATGAATATCAAGATTATGACAATTTGACTTCATGGACATAAAAAATTGTGGATCGTTGAGTATGGATTTTTGTGACTTATTAATAATACTATAACTTATGAATTGTTAAGTTTCTATCACTTCTTTGAATTTATAATTTGCTACATTAAGTTTCTATCACTTATTTTGATTGTTACTAATACTTTTGTTTATTCTAAATTATTTGAATTTATAATTTTCTATATTATTATAGTTACAAATTTCAGGTAATGAATATATTTTTTATAGAAATTGGGTCAAAATTCATGCGTTTTGACCAGTGACCCACTGGTCCAACCAATAACTCAGTGACCCAATAACTTTACCGAGTCGATCACCGATTTGGATTTTAAAACATTGAATAGAAGAAATAAATTACATGTATTGAAATTGAAAAAAAATTGATAGAAAACATATAAGTACTCCATTGTTTGAAATTATATGTATTGTATTTTTTAATTATTAACTAATTAAAATAGGAAGTAACAAGTAAGAGCACTTCCAATTCTAATATGTCCACCGATAGTAGGGCGACACAGTTGGAATCGTGAAAAAACAAATCGAGTTTGAGAGCATTTTAAAATAAAATACAAAAAAAAAATTGTTTACAAGCAAATTCATTGTTTGTTATAATTTAGAGGAGGTATATTTAGAATGAAACATCATTTTACAGGAATTAAAATATACTAGTTCCTTAAAAAAAAGTCCTTTTGATGTTTGTTATTAAATGATATCGGTATTAAAAAGTATTGAATAGAAAAAGAACACCACTAGTCCCAATGATTGTCAGCCCAATGAAGAAGAAGTAGAAATTTCAATTCAATCTTGCCAAATAATTTCTAACAAAGGAAAAAGAAAAGTCACTTTTGGAAGTGCTAGTTTTTTTCTCCTAGAATAACACCGGGCTCGTTCTCAATCAACTCTAAAAAGTGTAAAGTGTGATGTCTTGTAAAGATCCAACACACAAAGCTAAGATGATTGTTTTTTATGCTTCATTCAACGCAATAAAGTCCTCATATTTTCAAGATGTTGCCGACACAATTGCGGCTATTGGTCAAGTTTCAAACTTCCATCATTTCATGAAATAAGGGTTAATTTGTTCGGAGATTGTCCATTACTTGATGAAAGCTATCGATTCAAGTTAAGAATAATGGTACAATAACGGCTGATGGATGAAGTGACAAAAACAAAGAGAACTTTAATATATTTTTTGGTGTATTGTCCTCGAAGTATGCTATTTGTGAAGTCTATTGATACATTAAATATAGTGAAAGATGTTGCTACATTATGTAGTATGTTTATTGAAGTTATTGAATGAGTTGGACATGAAAATGTTGTTCATGTAGTGATAGACAATGCAACAAACTATATAGTTGTGAGTAAATTAATTCATGATAAATACGGATCTATTTTTTGGTCTCCTTGCACGACTCATTATTTGAATATACTTCTGAAGGATATTTGTAGCATGTATATATATACAATCCTATAATATTCTTATCTTAATTCAGGAAAAGATAAGGTTAGAAAGAAATTACACGTCCAAGAGTAACTAGATTTGTCATTACATTAAAACGTATGTATGCTCACTATTTTGGATTCTAAATTCTGAAATGATTGTTTCATGGTTGCAAAACTTATGGTTGCCCTCATAAAACTGCCTAGAATTATAGATGGAGATGAACAACCTTCAATGGGTTATGTTTATGATGAGAGCCATAAATTTTGCAATCATGAAATAATCATTCCAGAACTTAGAATCCAAAAGAATAACATCAACATTTTTACTGACTTTGCTAGCTTATGAGTAGTGAAATGTATCCGTACAATTTCTTTTCAACCTTTTCTTTTCTTTTCAACCTTCAAAAATAGATTTAAACAATGAATCGCACAAGGAGACCATAAAATAAACTCATATCTATTATAAACTAATTTACCATCAACTACATATTTGTCGGAATGTCTCTCACTAAATGAACAACATTTTCACGTCCAACCAATTCAATAACTTCAATACACATATTACACAATTTAGCAACATCTTTCCCTACATTTGATGCATCAATAGACTTCACAAATATCATACTTGAGGACACTACACTAGTAAATTTATTAAAGTTATTTGTTTTTGGTCACTCCATCCATAAGCCATTAATGCACAACCATTCATAGCCCATTTTCCCAACAAGTTAACCCTTATGTCTTGATACGATGGAACTTTGAAACTTGGACAAACAACTGCAAATGCATCTGCAACTTCTTGAAAATATGGTATGAATTTATTAAGTTGAATAACATATATTAATTATGTTTCATTATCATATCAGCACATAAACGAATACATTTAATATCAGAATACCTCACGAAGTGGAAAATACAAAACTGTCAGAAAATTAAACAAAAAATACTAAAGGAAAGAAAAACTCACTTGAGAAGAATTAGAAGAAACCATTTCTTATCGAAAAGATATTTTCGCAAGTGTTGTGTTTGCCATTATAAGGGTGGAGAAATATGGCAGACAGAAAAAGAAATAAGGGTTACAAGTTTTGTCTGTGAAAGCAACGACTAGAAAGTTAAGGTGACTATTAATCATTAAGATATCTTAGTGATTTAGATGGGTCTATTGACCTCCCAACATCCTGGGATGCCTTTGTGTAAGGGTAAGTTAAGCAATTAATGGAGTATTCCTCAGTTTATCAACTTTCAGAGCAAAATGTTTCACAGTATTCTCCATTCCCGCATCCATTAGAGCACTCTTAAAGGCACTGAACATATTCGCAGTAGGCCGAATCCCAACATCCAACATTTGTTGAAAGTACTTACACGCTTCATCCAACTTATTTTCACGACACAACGTAATGATCAACGTCGAGAACATGTGTATTCCGGGAAGCATTCCCTTGTCCTTCATCCCATCCCAAACCACCATCGCCATATCCAATTGGTTTTCATTACAAAACATTCTCACCATGATCGCGTACGTGTTAGCACTCGGCTCGCAGCCCATCTCACTACTCATTCTCTTGAAAACCGAGTAAGCTTCTTTTGTTCTTCCACCCTTTATCAAATGAACAAGTATTATATCATACGTTCGAGAATTCGGACCGATCCCAAGCTCTTTCATTTCACCAACAATCCTGTAAGCATCATCCATCCGCATTGCCCAGCAGTACGCTCCAACAACAGCATTATAAGTCGGCGTCTCTGGTGGAAACCCACTAGCCTTAGATTTTTCAAAAAACTCAAGAGCTTCATCCAATCTATTACCATTACCAAGACCAATAATCAAAGTACAATAAATATGAGGACTAGGACTCACATTCTTCAATTGCATCTCATGATAAAAACCAACAGCCTCATCATATCTCTTACCCTTACAATAAGCATTGATGATTATACCATAAGTAACAACATCAGGCTCAAAACCCTCATCTTTCATCTCTCTACAAACCTCATTAACCTTCAACAAATTCTGTTGCTGACTCCAACCTTCCAACAAAATAGTATAAGTCTTCAAATCAGGCTCCAAATCCCATTGCCGCATTTTATCAAACAGTTCCTGTGCTTTCTCAACATGAAACTTGGACTTACACAAAACATCAATTAACTTATTGAAATCCGATATCTTGGGCTTCAATCCGTATCTTTCCATTCTCTCAAACGTCTTCAATGCTTCATTAACGATCCTAGCTCTAACATATCTACGAGCGATTAGAGCAAAAGTGTCACCATTCAGCAACTTTAGTTGTTTCATGTCATCTACCAAATTCCAAATCATCTTAAACTGTTTGATCTTACCCAATGCTTCAATCAAAGCATGGAAGCTCTCTGTACTGTGTTTGAATCCTTTTTGTTTCTCGGCCCAACGGAAGAACGAAAGTGCGAGGATACCAGCATTGCTGAGCTTGTTTAAGACATCAGCAACGAGCTCCGGCGATACCTCCACCGGGAAGTTGCGGAGGGAGACGTCGAGGGGTGAATCTGGTGCGGTGGAGAGGATTTTGCAGATTGTTTCGGCGTCTGGGTTGGGGGTGGTGGGTTTTTTGAGACGGGATGTGTGAAGTGAAAAAATGTTGAATTTGAGAGAGGCGGATGGGTTTTGGATGGATTGGATGGTGGGGTTTGGATGATGGTGATCAAAATTTGAACTTGCTGAGAGTGTTGAAGAAATTGGGTAACAAGATTTTGAGACTTGGACAAAATTGGGGAATTTTCTGAATAATCGCGAGAGTGTCATGCTTTCATAAAATAAGAAAAATCGTTAAATCAACCATCGGTGAACCTCACTATCTAAAGTGTTTTCAAATATTTGAGTGATTTTCAAAGATCAGTAAATCAACTCACTAATATGAAGATTCTGCTTAAAGACAAATTGCAAGCATTGTTACTACTAAGTTCAATGCCATACAATTAAGGTACATTTGTGGTTTTATTGATTAACTCAACACCACAAAGTTTTTTAACATGAGACATAATAAAAGATAGTGTGTTCAATGAAGAATCAAAGAAGGGGGGAATGAGGAATATCAATAGAGTCCAAGACGTTTGTCATAGAGTATCATGGAAGAGTCATCGATAACAGGTAGGGATGTCAGTTTGGACCTGTTAATGGGGATCCCCGCGGGGAACGCCCCGTTCGGGGCCCCAAAGATGGGGAATTTTTCCCCGTGGGGGCGGGGATGGGGAGAAAAATTCCCCTGAGAGCATTTCGGGGACGGGGACGGGAATACACCCCCCGCCCCGCCTATTATTTTAATATAGTTAATTTAATATATATATTTTAGATTAGGTTTTTTAGTCATTTCCTTTATGTTTATTTATAAAAATAAATAAATAAATATTCATGTATTTATTAAGAGAGAGAAATGTAAATATTAGACCCTAAAAAAGTTGAAGCGTTTCATTTTCTTCTGCCAGACATTTAGAGTCTCACATGTAAATATTTATGAAGTATTTTTTAGCTTTTCAAGCATACTCATGATGCTAAATTTTATAATTATCCCTTATTAGTTTTGATGAAGTATAGTTTTTTAAGCATAATTATGTTGTTGGATTTTTTTAGTTGTTTAGGCATATTGTTACTTTAAAAAGTATTATAGTTCATTTTGTTGAATTTTATAGCATTTTATAGAAATTTATAAAAAAAATATTATTATTTTGTGTTCCATTAGTATTTTTAATAAAAAATAATAAATGTCAAATACTAGTATTTTTTAATAACATAATAAATATGTGAATTCTTTGTGCTTTTTATTTTTATAGAAAATATAAACATTTTAAAAAAATAAAATATTAATGAATAAATGTAGGAACTATGGGGATCCCCGCGGGGAACGGGGATCCGCGGGGAACGGGGATGGGGATAGAAATTCCCCCGTGACGGAGATCGGGGACGGGGACGGGGAATGAATTTGATGGCGGGGAAAAAGATGGGGAAGTGTCCCCCCGGCCCCGCCCCGCCCCATTGACATCCCTAATAACAGGTTTAATACTAAAGACAAGTCAAATGAGAAGTCTAAAGATAAGTTTAGAGGAAAGTTGTAGACAAGAAAAGACGTAAAATGCAACAGTTAGAGAATGTAGGAAGCTTGAAAGAGAGTAACAAGAAAATGGTGATGCGAGTTACACCCGGTACCATTTTTCAAGGTAATTTTTGTTTTGATGATGGTCATATTAATTTAACATCACAAAATACATGTTGGGTTGTGGATTCTGATGCATAATTTCATGTAACATCACAAAGGGATTTCTTTTCTTCCTATACAAGTGGTGGTTTTGGCAATGTGAGGATGAAGAATGATAATAGATCAAAGATTGTAGTAGATGATTTCTTATAAACAAACACTGATTGTTGTCATATCCTAATTTTTGACCAAAGATTCCATTTTTTTTGCATCATTGCATGACATCAAGAGATCATCTCATTCATCCTTTGCATCACTAACCTCGTGGAGACACAAGTTTTGCTTTGCTTGTTTGTTCCTTTTTGAATAGATAGGTGTATGGAATCAAGAAGTCCAAGTGGTTGATAAATTAATGATCCTTAAAGGTTCAAACCTCTCATTCATTTATGGTGATCAAGTAACCATCATCTTCACAACCTTATCACATTAGGGCTTCATATTGAATCCATCAAATGGTTGAAAAAGATTAGGGTTTTGGCTCCTCAAATGAAAAAACAGGAATTAAGGTTTGGGGTCTTCAATTATGTATCACTAAAGGCTTCATCATATCATCATCTTATGAACTTCAGAGATATCTTAACATGCTAAGGATTGTATCATAATCAAAAAGCTTTCATTGAAATGGGACAAATTAGATTCATCTAATACAAAGTCAACTACAAAGTCAAACTTTGATTTTTTTAAAGTCAAATATGTACTTCTCAAGTTGAATTTCATGAAAATGTGATTAATAAATGTTTTTGATCAAGAGAATCAAAGAATTAGAGATAACTTGCAAAAGGGGTAAGGTTAAAGAGGTTGAAAATCTCACTAAGTGTCAAATTTGGTGTTCAAAGTGCATGACTTTCCAAGTTTGTAACATCCAATCTAAGTTACCATTTTTCATGCTCAAAAGATCAAGTTGAAGATCTTGCTGTTGGTGTAAGCCCTAGAGGTCAATACTTTTGGTACTTGTATCGAATTATTTATTAATAATAAAAGGCATTTCTTTATTATGTTTGCTTTCCAAAATAATAAAGTCCCTAGAATGGTTTATTTGTTTAATGAAATGTTAAGTGTGACTTAATCATGAGATCCCGTTAAACATAAGACACTATTCTTAAAGTATCCGTAGTCAAGCTTTAATGTGAAGTGGGATAACATTAAAGCATTAAGATTATTATGAAGATAGATTGATGATCACATCTCATGGATCATAGATAAGGAGTTATCAAGTCTTGACATAGGTATGAATATTAGGAGTAATATTTATACTGGATTGACCCGCTATGAGAATACTACATAGAATGTTATGCAAAGTGTCATAAGTTATTCTCATGATGATAATGGTGTATACCACCCTTCGACCTGAAACCACTATGGGCCCTAGATGTAGAGTCAAGTATTTTATTGCTGATCAAACGTCATCCGTAACTGGATGACTATAAAGACGGTTGATGGGTACTTCACAAAGCATGCTAAGGGACATGAGTGACCTAGATGGAATTTGCTCATCCTGCATAATAGGATAAATGTCTAAGGGCCCAATATTGAACTGGACAAGGGTGACACAGTGTATGCCTTGTGTTCAATATAGACATGAGGGCAAAAGGGTAATTGTACAACACAAATATTATCACGAAAAAGGTTTGGTCAGATCACATGACATTTTCGTGACTTGGGTAACAGTGATGTGTTGCTAGATACCGCTCACTATTTATTATATTAAATGTGTGATTTAATATAATTGCCAACGTCGCGAAAACCTACAGGGTCACACACATAAGGACAGGTTGATGAGAGATAGAACAAATAAGGAATACCGTAAGGTACGGTGCACTTAAGTGTAATACGGAAAGTGGTAAGGTACCACGTGGATAAGTGATATATAGTACATCATAAGGTATGATGTCCATAAGCTTATTTGGGCTTTTAGCTTATAGCCTTAATTGGGCTTTTAGCTTGTATCCCACACGAGTGATTCTATAAATAGATCCCTTGTGATGAAGCAATTTCACTTGATGTAATTTCGTTTTTGATTCTCTCTCTCACTCAAGGTTTCCGTTCGTGATCAGCTAGCACTGTGACCGGAAGCAATCTGTTCGTGTGGACTGAGTAGAGGCGTTGTTCTTCATCAACGCTCGTGATCACAACACCAAAGGTCTGAATCGCCACAAGAGGTAAATATTTCTATCACTGACCATGCTCATTCGTAAGGATCGCTAAAGGAAAATTTTAAATTCCGCTGCGCTTTTGATTGTAATTTTCCTTCACTTGCTTCATACTATAACTTTGCCATAGGAAGTGAGGTCCAAAAAATGCATGGATGAAGAGATATGAGACCATGAAGTGGAGGATCCATTTGTCTTTGAATGATAAAACACGGTGAAAATTCCAAGTATTTTTACCTTGTAAAGTACCTGACTTCATGTCCATTTTCACCATGATTCCAATTGATTCAAAGAAAGTGCTCAATATGAAAGTTATAGAGGATGCTATCATCTTTCCAAAGAGTCTAAGAGCATAAATTTATCACACTTGAGCTACGAGTTTCGAAGAGATGAAGTTAGGCATCCAAAACTAAATTAGAGGTCCATTTTTGTGACAAGCTTCATAGAAAATCCAAGCATAAGCTAAATAATACCACTTTTCAGGTCATTTAGCTTTTAAATCTCACCATAATCAGATATTCACACAAATCCTTAGAGCATTACACAAAGAATTGAGGCTTTGTCCAAATCTTGGTACTATTTATAGAGCATTATGCATAAAGTCACATATCCACTTTGATAAAGCTCAACTTTTGCCAACAACTCTCTCCTTTCAAGCTTGTAACTTTTTCTAAAGATCACATATAATCTCCATGACCAGAAGCAACCTTCTAAAGTCAGAAAAGTATGGCCATTCACCCTTGATTCACTCCACCTTTCATCATGTAACATACATGTTTTTTTTGTGCAAATTGAAACCAAATGGCCAAACTAGCATTCCGTATGAACACAGAACAATTTCTACAAGTTAGTGAGACCATTTTCTTCCTCTATAAACAGTCCTCAATGCTCAAAACTGAAACACACCAAAATTTGCACTCAAAAACCATTGTTGCAATTTTCAAACCTTAAATTTCCATCTCTCAATCCAATCGTGCGTTTCTCAATCTAACCATATAAACATCATCTATACATCATATTTATGTTTCTGTATGCATTGATTCTTAGTTGGAACACCCCCATTTCCCTATCCAACCCATGGACATTCACCCTTGTAGCTTGACTTGGTTGAGAAATTTGAGATAGTTTCAAAGTAAAATAACTATTGCATCATGTTCCTGGGATATCATACAAGCTAAAGAGATCATTTGGCACCTCTAAAAGTCACTACAATATGCATTGGACCTTACTCCAACAGGTAAGCTTTTCTTGATTTCCAAGTCATCCATGCAAGCACCATTTTGAACATTTCTTAATACTATTCTGTGTGTTTTAATGCCATGAATGAAAGCCTTATGAAAATAGACATTGGTTGATCATCTGTGCAATTTAATTTAAATTTGAAAAGTGTTAGGGTTTCTGGT